ATGAAACAATATGCCGAAATACAACAATTATAGGAAATACTAAAAAGATTGGAACTTACACCAATTTCCCTTGCCTCATCACTGACAAAAGCTCCATTGGTCGTCTTATGAGTAGCTATCCAAACTTCTCCTCTGCTAACTTTGTGCCCACACTCTTTTTCCTATGAAAATTAACAAATGCTTATTAGGTATGTTATAAATATTATGAGAAATAGAAAATTGAAGATAAATAACACTTCACCATTTCTTCTCTCTTCCTTGCAATGCTCTTGGATCCCCCTATGTGAGCAAGAGTTTGTTTTGTCCTATTGTGCTTATTTTTTAAGGCAATCTCCTAACATTGTGATAAGAAAAGTTATTAAATCATAACAAAATTTTATGAAAAGAGATATAGGTTTTACCTTTGTTCTTTCATCAAGTCGATAGTCAACAAAAGAAGCCCAATGATCTCTATCAATGCCTTCTGGAGCCATGGCAATCAATTCATCTCTAGTACGGGTGCCATCATCTCCAATTGGTTGATATTCCTCAAATAGGGAATACATTATTATTATTATACCTTTTAGAAGTTGATGAGTAATAATTATGAATCTTTTTTAAACTCTAAATAAAATTAAATAAAAAAAATATTTCAATAATAGTTATTTGATAATATTATATATCCAAATGATTAATCATACCACAAAAATAATTACACATTATTACGATCGAACATTTATAATTAACCAATCGAACAAATTACCTCTAACACTTAAAATTAGACTACTAGTAACTTGTGTAATAATAAACTGTTGATTTTGACACACACCCAAAACACTATCTTAAGCAACAACAATAATATTAATAATATAAAAATTTCTTATAACAATGTAAATAAAAATTTCTTATAACAATCGTGCCTCATAAGAAACACTGATGCTAGTAGAACCTGGTTGGCGCAGAGTAATAGAAGAAACAGTTCTAGTTAAGCTGCACAAAGCACTTGGCCTCTGCTGTGAAAATGAAAATAACTTTGCTACAATGTCCTGAAACACAGAAAGTATACAATCAAGTAACATTTAAATTTAAATTAATGTACAATTATAAATAAAATATTAATAAAAGATAGAAACTACAACTGTAGAACAACTGCAGCAAAAAAGTGAAACTCTGTGTGAACTGGTACAACAAAAACTTAGTAGAACCTACAAAGGCAACACCAATAAAAAAATGTTAGAAACAACAAGAATTTGTCAGACAAAAGCTTAGTTAGTAACACTAATTTGTAAAATAAAATTCAAAACTAAAGTAGATTAAACTAACTCCTACTTATAGCAAAAAGTAATCACACAAATCAAACTACTACAAGAAACATCTTAATAAAACCATTTAATAGAAATTACTAAAATCTAAACCTACCAATTACAAAGGTTAAAAACTATTTAAACTACTTCAGTAAGACAGAAAACAGATTTAAAACTACTTATGACTATCTAAAATATAAAGAAAACTAGACACATGAAGACTTAATTATAATTTAAAATAACATCAGAAAGGAAGCTATGAAGAAGCATTAGCTAAGCATCGAAATAGGTTCAAAGCATAGAAGGAGAAGTTACATAAGTGAAAGGTGAATCTTGAATTTCTAATGTAGCCTCTTTGTGAAATTAACATTAACAGTAACATTAACATAGTTAGGAATCTCTACCTTCCAAGTTCTAACATATCTAAATCTTTTAGAAATTAACCTCTGCTTCAACCAACAAAAAGATGATATACTTTTAAGATAAAAACTAAAAAAATTTCAAAACAATAATTCATAGAGTAAATTAATTCAAAAATAGAAAAAAGAAATCAACTTTTTATCACTAATAGTGCATATGCTGATTGAAAAACAAATCATTTGGGGACTGAATATGAGTAACAATGCATATGATTTGGTGACAATACAACAATTTTATCACTAACAGACACTAAGTATAAAAGAAATTAACTTTAATAATATTTATGGTATTCAAGAGACCATGTTCCCTACCGGTCTCTATTTTCTGAAAGTATAATCATTCATTAAAATGACAAACAGATCTCTCTCTCAACCTCTGTTATTTATAGATGATATCCACTACATTATATTCTCTTGTTGCCCTTTTACACTCAACATTTAGTATCATTACAACATTGTCGATCTTAAATCTCTGCAATACAAGTTTCCCTTAATAAAAAAAGTCAGCATCCTCTAAATGAATAGTCCCATAAAAAGTACTTTGAATCTAAAAACTAAGTTCTCAACAAGCAAAAAGAATATACAGTTTTTGGTTATATATTGGAAAATACCACTAATGCATCAGTGATGCGCTAAAGAAACCTTGCATATATGAAGGAATAAAAGATCAAAATCGAATTACTGAGATAACTAAGCAAGGAAATTACTTATCATTTTGAAAAACTTAGGCACAAAATACAAAAGATACTACCTTCTTATGGCCAACACTTAAGGGTTATAATTAAATAGGAGACAAATACAGACAACTCAATGAGTTCACTTAGCACTTAATTTACAAAGAAGTAAACCAATT